TTTTTTTTTTTTTTTTTTTTCCTTCTCGCAAATTCATATTTTTTAATTTCTACATACTAACCCGGAATGAATATAGAAATATCTTCATCATATTTTTTGAAATTGGATTCGGGCATCAGTCGCGTCAACTTATTATCAGATCAAAATTGGAGTTGTGTTTTATTCCCAACCCAAATCTGAAATTGCATGACCAATTAGTTGGTTGACCGAAAGTTCGAGATCGCATCTTCTTTGATTGCGTTGAGGAATCTATTTGTCTTTGGGATCTATTGTTAGCTTTTCATTGATTTACACGACGGATTTTTCGCGATGCGGAATAATCAAACAATTCTGGGAAGTGAAACTTAAATGAAAAATTTCAATGCGATAAACCTACATACACCTACATCCTAAAAGCTGCACGGGTGCGACGATGGCCGCTACTGCTCACTTGGCTTTAACATGAAGCTCACACACCACCTGACAAGCTTGACACGAGCTTAAACAACTTGAGCTGCGCGCTGCTGCTTCAAGAACATGCCAGGCTGGCCGAATAAACTTTGCTCCTCGACCTCGTTCTGAAGAAGCTGGAACCTGGGCATGTTTGTTGCTTGCTTTTGCAGGCAAAGTCGCAGAACATGCAGCAAGCACCTGGTTTGCCACGGCTTCATTGCAAATCTGCGCTGAAGCAGCACAGGTGGCGAAGTTATGCGAAGTTTGCAGTTCATGAGCCTGAGATCGTGAGTGATGCAGTGGTCCTCGTCAGCGACATCCGTCAGGAGATGAGTTCTTTTAGCGCCTTCGAGTTTCAGAGTGCACCCACGCCAGCTTGTCAATCTGGCATAAGCATGCATAAGCTTACACGCTGCGTGGATCAGCAGCCGCCGGATGGCGGCGGTCAAGGCGATGGCTCACGCAGAGTCACGTCTACGTCTGCAAAAAGCTCAGAATGCTTCCTGTATACTCTGGCAAAATCCTGTGCCCTCCACGCTCGGCATCCTTGACAAGTATCTGTGGGCAGTGGTCACGAAAAACCTGTGAGGATGAAAACCATGTCACCCAGTCATCTCTTGCCCATAGCAGAAGCAGTGGCATCTTCAACTCCTTCAGCATGGCTTTCTTTTTCGTCAGGGACATTATGGCTGGGCAGACAAGCACTAGCTGCTGCACGATGGATGGTTGCTGTGATGCAAACTGCGCCGCAATAGCACCTCCCCAGCTTTTGCCCATCAGAACAATCTGCTGATTGGCAGCAAAGTGTTGATGAACTTGCAACAAGACAGCGGTCATATCAACGGCCCTTAAAAGGCTTGGGGCTACCGCTGGATTGCTGTGGAGATTTGGCAGTAGGACGCGGAAGCCTGATGAAGCGAGCACCTCTGCCAGCGAATCCCACTCACGAATGATGAAGGGAGAAGATGACATTCCATGCAAAGCCAAAACTACGGGACCGTCCTCTGGTCCAAAGGCTTGGATTTTCAGTTGCCCCTCAGTCGTTGAGCATTCCAGGGATGAGCCGCTGCGGGGCTGGTCACGCTGAGAGATGCTGGTGCCCATGGCTGGCAACGCAGGCGACGGGAAGCGCACACCAGGCAACCATGCAGAGAAAGTGCACTTGGACAACGGACACAAAGCCTTTTTTCTCTACCGAGACCATCTCAGCATGACCACCGCAAGACCAAGGCTCCAGCCATCTGATCAGATTCGTCAAACAGCAGCAGCGCTTTGAACCTCAGCAACGGACGTGCGATTGCATTGAGGCATGACACCCGACTTCCCTTCTGAATCTTCACTACAGCTATTACAAGCGTTCGAGCGCCCACTTGTGGAAAACTCCGGGCATTATGTTGCAAAGAGGCCTTCAGCAGCCCACTTCAGGAAAACTCCTAGCATTATGCTGTACAAGACCTTGCTGGTCGCTGATTTTCTTGCGTTCGAAACGCCAAGATTGGGAACGTTGACGTCAGGCGAATGGACTTTCCACCGCACTTGGCCCAAGGCGAGTCGAAGGAAATGTACTGTGTGTGGTCCTCACGAATGCATGTCTGACATCTGCACATGCCAGGAATGTCCCTGACGGCAGTCCTTGTTCAAAGCCGCAAGGAAGCCGTCGGGCATGTCAGCGACCTGAGAGATCTGAACAATTTGTCGCTTGCATTCAGAGTGCACATCGAGGCAAAACCAGAGACCTGGACTGTCATGCCTCTTGTGGCAAGAGCGTTCTGAATATCCTGCACCTTGACCTTGACAGAGACATGAGAGTGCTGCAGGGATGAGTCCATATGGACTGTCTCCAAGGCAAGACAGGGAAAGAGTCTTTTGCCAAAGCCTTGCATGTCTGAGCGTTGCCCTATGCCAGCGCTGTAGGAGGAAAGCTGCATTTCTATCGTACTTGAAAGATTCTGCCCGAGCTCCTCCCTTGAAAAAACAGCTGTCCTGTCCTCCGAGTTTCAAACCAGGCCATTGGCATCTGGACGGAATTGCTCCCAGGCGATGGACAGCAGTCTGTCTTGCTCCTTCATGATGCGGCAAGCATCAATGCATCATTGATAATACTGTACATCCCTTGCAAACCTCCGGCTTCTTGCAGCGCAAGTTGATGATGCCAGCAAGGAACTCTGTGTAAGAAACCTGGAGAGGGACGTCTTGCAAGCAAGCCATCACTCTTTTGTCCTGACTCATGCAACGCCTGCTACTGTCTGAGTCCGTCGCTTGCCCTGTTCGGCCGACATCAAGCTCGCCGACAATCTGCAGGAAAAAATATTTGTGGATTTAGATTCAAGCGGCAGCCGTCCCTACCATGCATGTTGGCTGGATCTGCATGACCTATTCTTCCAGTCCCAGCCTGCTCTGCCTGCTCAGGCGAAGCCCCAAACTGCATCAGCCCTTGCCTTTAAAGGAACACATTTGCACGTACGTACCTTGAGGAGCACATGCCTACCGTGATGCAGGGTCGCTAGTCATGCTTTCGCACCTTTGCAAAACTATTTCTGTGACCTTGCTCTGCACGAAGCAAAGAGTGTAATTATATGACAAGTGCGAAGTGCTGCTTGTGAATGAGCGACAGGTGTCTGGCCTCAAACGTAGCTCGTAGGGAAGGTAGGATACAGGAGTATGTTTGTCGATCAGCCGCAGAAATACATTGAACATGTGGAATGTTCAAGAACTGGACTGACATCAGTGAGAATGAAGTAATCAGCTGCGCCTCAGCTCTTCGGCAGAAAGATGTCCGTCACCATCCGCATCAAAAGCCTTAAATGCCTTGCAAAAGTCTGACGCACAGAATGATTGGATGCTGCTTAGGCTTCTACAACATGGGGCCTCGTTCACGGTGGTTTGCTGACTGGCATCAAGCTGTGTGGCAACCTGATGCGAATTTAGCTCTGCTCAATTTTGGAGTGACTTTGATCGTGCTGAGTTTGGAGTTCTCTGTCTTTGGATGGAGGAGTGCCGAGCTCGGCACGAAGCGTGTGACAAACTTTTCAAATTCAGATCTCTGGCCCACCTTCAAACAGTGAAACATTGGCCTAGTCCTGATCTTTCATGCTTGGCCTTGACTTCTGAGGCGCAGGCTGCAAGCAAACTCTGAATTTGATTGTCATTCAGGGCGCCAGCTGGGTTACCTGCCAGAACTCCGCCAAATATGATAACAGAAGTGACAAGCTACAAGTATAACAAGCCCCGGACACACTGCACTTGTCGATCTTATCGTTACGTTCCTTGCGCCAACAAAAATTGCTAAGCCCCGCACTGTGGCCGGCCAAGCCCATCCGCACAAACCACCTGCGATTCCAACCCTGTCCAGCCCTTCTCCAGAAGTGTGTAAACCGTCAGAAAGATCATTAGTTTTGTCCTCCGGCGGCTGCTTCCAAAATGCTATGCAGTTTCCGTGCAGGCGCGATGGGTCACACTAACAATTTCTGCGCTCGGAGCTACAAGTTTCCTGCCAGAGCATGCGCACATGTCGTTGTCCATGAATGTGGCTTTTTGCAGCAACTTCTTTTCCCTGCCCTCATTGGCCACAGCCCCACCCCGAAATCCAGCTCATGGCGGCTTTGAAATCAGCGGAGAAGTACCAACCTGACTTTGCTTGCACAACGCCAGAAGCCGGCTCTATGCACTCCAGAAACTGTGGCGGCCCCGCAGGCAAGACATCAGCACATTCTGCACGCTCCAGTGGAGAACTGCTTTTTGCCAAGCTGCAAATGGCACGTGAGCATGTGCACCTCAAAATGAGGGACTCTTCCCACACTTTCCCGTCTCGCAAAGTGGGGCAACATCACAACATGAACCCATGTTGGCGGACCCATCTTACTGAACCCAATAATTTCGTGCAAGCATTGCAAGATAAAGTATTCCAATGCCTTGCATATTCCGTGATCTTGTTGGGATGGCATGCATGTTCGCAACATGCAAGGGTCCACACGTCAATATGTATACACGTCCAAGCAGAGGTTCCTGCAAAGGGATTCTTGCAAGAATTTAAGCAAACAACGTTCACGCTCGAGTTCGGATGGCCTAATGCTCAAATGCAGATCCTTCCCTATGTTAGCCTCCTTAACACTCGCGACAAGACACGTTGCCCAGCCACATGGTGCTGGCGAGAGCCGTGCACCCCGGCTACAATCCTTGCTTCTGCTCAAGGCCCGTGGACCGTGGCTGCAGGAAGCTGTGGGATTACAAATTTTGGACAGCTGTCAGCTCGTCGACCTACACATGACTGCATCCAGGTCCCTGGCTGCGTTCCAGTAAGAGAATCGGAACGGACTCGTACAGGGCTCTTCTGCCCTCCATGCTCAGTCTTCTTGATCACTCTCAAGTGTTGCATTCTGTTCTGATCTCACATACACTTATTTAGCCAGGTCATCTGCAGGACAGCTGACACCTCCCATGCGTTGTCGCTAAGCTGTAGGCAGGCCTGCTGTCAAAACAAGGACGCTCTGTGTCGCACAGGAGGCAGCCATCATTTTCTATGGAGTCCCTCCTTTCCAATCCTCAGAACTTTTGTCTATCTGAAAAGCAGCGATGCGAGAAAGTTGATTGCAAGCGACGAACTTACAAGCGACAGGAGCTGCAAGCTCCAGAGCAGCTAGGTTTTGAGATATGGGGATTCAACCCCTACCACTGCTGGTCTTGTACAAATGTTTCGTGCACATGGTCCTGACTTGGCTTTGGCAACGAAGACAACACTGAAATTTTACCAAGTCATTTCAAGTCTCCTTTGTAGTGGCATGGCCAAGAGGTGTCACAGGAATCCACATCTCTGCTCATAGCGACGTTGGACAGCAGATAGCCCTTGCGCAGATTGTTGTGACTCCACATGAAGTCCAGCCAGCCTTGGATTGTCCACGTGATGTGACTGAAACCAGGACGGGACATTCCAACCACGACAAGCAAGCACGACGACTCACCCTACCAAGGCTTATTCGCACTACTCGTATGGCAAGCTATGTTTCATTGCTTTTTGCTGCGGTCAGCCACACTTCTTCCAGGAACGCCCAAGCCCCTAAAAGATGCAGAATGCGTACTCCCAAGCTATCGGGGGGGTCTGGAGTTTGGGGCCATGGAGTCAGCGTTTTTGGGTCTTTGGGCCCCTCAAAAATCTTGAAATAAATGCTCCCAAGCAATTCTGTAGGTGGGCGGCAGCGTGGGGGACTTTGGGCACGCATAAATCTCCAAATGCGTGTTCCCAAGCACTTTGGGGTTTGGAGGTGGAGTCCGCGTTTCGGGACTTGGGACCCTCCAGAAGCTCAAAAGGTGTCCTCCCTAGTTTTGGTGGTGGGGAGTGCAGCCCGGGATCACTAAAGCCAAGCAATCGGGAATCTGGAGGTGGGGGGCCAGGATTCTGACGTTTGAGACTTCCGGCCCAAAATCTCAAAATGCATACGTTCAAGCAAGTGGTGGGCGGGCTATACGCTCTAGTTTTCGCAGGTCAGGCCCGAATGTCAGAATCAGAAAAACCGTTAGATTGAGTTCTCGCCATCTTCAGACTTCAGCCAAATTGCGAGAAGATGCCCTGCACACCTCACTAACTTCTTCCGAAAAGACGTCCTCAGTCCACCGGGACATGAGAGCAAAATCAATCAAGTCTCTGCAGACCAGGTGCATGAGCCAACTTGGTTGCTGCAAGGCCATGTTGAATGACATCAGCGACATTCCGAGCGTAGACCTCATCTTGTTCCGCAGAACCTGGCTCCCCTTGCGACATGCCAAACCTATGTCCGACAAAGAGACGTGGCGGTAGTACGAGGGGAGCAGGGCCCTCAAGACCAGCCGGCCGTGTCTGGCCAAACCCAGGTCACCTGTCTCTCTGACAGTGCTGGGCGTGCAGTGGTGTGCCGCAGCACGCCGCTTGCTGCCAACATGGACCACCTTGCGGCATTGTGCTTTGATACACACCTTGATTCCGATGGGGTAATGACAGCCCAGCTGCACGCCCGTAAAATGTGCGCACATTCCGGATGTTGCTGTTCTCCCACATGATGCCGTCCTTATCAAATCCTGGCAAGGGCAGACCCGTGCAGGGTAGCATTGCAGCGCCTGCCCCCTGCCTATGCCATCCCAGAGCAATGGAAGTTGCAAAAAGGTGGTACACAATCGCGATGGTTCCAGCCATGATGGCCAGTCAGGATCTTCACGTCGTCCACCATCACACCAACAGGTCTTGGAGGCAAAGGCATCGTTGCTGAAGGGCTCGGATCCCTGGGCAAGGTAGACACCTCTCCGGCCTTTCAGGAAGCATGGTGGACGAATGGCGGATCAGATTTGACAAGCATTTCTAGCAATTTATGCTCGTAGCATGGCTGAAGCAGCTGCGTGCCTCTGCACCAAACCGACCAGAGACCACTGCATGCACATCGCAGCGGCGTCTCAGATGCTACGACGGAACCGCCAACCTGTCCACAACCTAAGTTTCAAGCATGCGAGCTCCCTACCGCTTAAACCGAATTTTGAAAAACTAAATGTGCTGTGCGCGGCAACTTCCCCATCGTACCCAATCCAAGAGCTTCTGCTGGCGCCATTCGAAATGGTTTGGCGAACCGATCAAGCAGGCCTGGCATCTACAGGAATGTGTTGTTGTGAGTGTCTTGGACCGTGAAGTGATGGTAAGCTTGGTGCCCTGGAAATATCCGAGCACCCTGTACCCAAGTAGATTTAGGCGAAGTCAGCAAGGCATGCACTAAAACTGAAGCAGTGCTTTCATGTGCTTCGCCCGCCTGCGAAACGTCACCTTGCGGCGCAGCCATTTAGCTTTGACATTGCTTCAAAATCGCATGCCAAGCCAAGGCACTTATGGAGAAAGGCGGCACATCTTCCCGAATCCAGGAAGTTGAGTGCAAGCGTTGTTGACTACGCCAGATTGCCTACGCTCTCACTTCCACACGCAAGGCTACACAGCTATCATCAGAAGCTGACATGTCAACAGAGGCTACTATGAGAAACTTCGCCGATTCCCATCATCATGCTAGGTGGAAACTCGACTACAGTAAGACCTGGATGAGATTTATACACATTGCCCTTATGGCGTCAGTCGAGCGACCGAACGGATGCGGCCTGGATGCGCACCTGGCAGTTTCTGGCTTCTGTGGCTTGGGCTGCCATGGCTGCCCGACTTACAGCAAAATTTGCCATCAACCCTGAACGAGAACGCTTCTGACACTTCTAGTCTAGAGAACCGGCCTGGTGCTTGGTATGTTGGGCATCCCCGGTGCTTGATGCTCTGCCGCCCAAAGCAGCCCAGCGCATGTGCGCGATACCACTGCAGAAGCTGGCGCCCAAGTCGATTTCTATTGCCTGAAGCCTCAGGCAGGTCGGTGAGGGATTTGATTAGTTGGGATACTGCTGGCTCATCGCAAACTGGGCGATTGCTCTATATAATTGTCCGACGCACATCTACCACTGGCATGTCTGAAGCCAGGACAAGCGTCGGACAACGGACAGGCCTTCTTTCGATAGTTTGCTGCATGCTCTGCCTGACCATGCGGCAGAGTGCAGGCAAGACAGCCATCTTTGCCAAATACTTCTGCATTTGCGACCCGGTCGCGGTGGGGTAGAGGCCTCTCCAGGTCAGGTGCTCAAAGCAGCCCCCATCCGTGAACCTGCTAGAAGTGACGAAAAAAATCAAAAGCTTGGAGCTTGAGCAAGCCAACAAACCACCAGAGCAAACGCCCTGGTGCCTCAGGAAGGTGTGCACGCCCCGGATGCAGAGCTCGACTCTCCCACTAACGCGAGCAACATCCCCATCTTGGACACCTTGTCGTTAAGCAAGTGCGGTGAGGTCGTAAACATTAGATCGAGCATCCTCTCAATTCTTCAAACTGATTGCTGGCAAAGCGGCGTAGCGCGCGTGCAACGAAGACACTCAGCAGGGTAAGGGCATTTCCCCTGCTGAATGCTCCCATGGAGCTATATTATGCGAGCCACATGACAACTGTACGCATGGACGTTTGAAACGAACTTCGGCGACCAACACCTTTGTTGCAAAATTACGTGCGCTTGTAGCAGCTCAACTGCACAATACATGCAGGCCATGGTAGGGTTGCAGGGGCGCCACCTGTCCTTCAAACAAGTTTGTGCTGTGGGCCGCTGATGCTCCATCTTCTGGAGCATCTGCCTCTGCAGGGGCACAAGTTTGCCATTCTCGTAATCTTTAGCCACCGGTCACCGGTCCTGCAGATTAGCTGTGCTTCTTGGGTGGCTCCACCCATGGCGGCCTGCATGTCGGCGGTCAAACTGTGAGGTGTGTTGAGAAGGTGACGCTGAGGGCATGACCCAATCCGGCTCTTGCTGCACAGCCTTGGGGAACTCCTGTCAACATACCGCACGCTTGAGTTCAAATACACAAAGCAGTTCACGTGGAATGACATACATCTGCGAAGCACGACAATGCTCAGCACGGCTATAAGAAGCCGCTTTCCCGGTTTCCCGCTCACTCCTTGACCGTGGCGGCAACGAAGGGCAAACGCCCCGACAAAAGGAAAAACAGCATACATCCAGCTGACCTGACGAATGGCAGTGAACTGTCAGGATCAGATGAATGGCAATAGCTCGCGATTTGTGAATTCGCCTTGCGGCAGCTGCCCTTCCGAAGCACACATCTGAGTTCTGCACCAAACGTCGCAGCTCTTGCTGAAGTTGCCCTGCCAAACCTTGTGAGGAGATTCGCTAGTTCTTTACATAACCTCACAGGTACACACAACGACCACCAAAAACGTGCCTCAGGCGCCATGTAGGGAGGAGTGCCTGACCTTGGTTTGATACATTCGAAAAGATTTGCGCATTCAGGGGTGCTCGGCACTCTCAGTGTGGCCCCTGCACCACATCACTCCGGTCTGTCGAGTTAGCAAAAACCTCCGATGCATTTGCAGAAGGCAAATTCTATGGTGGTTTCAAGGGCGCTGCCTCCGCCAGGCCGAAGTCCACCACAACCTTGCAAGGAAAGACCGCTACAATGCACATAGCCTTTCAGCACAAGCAGACCTGCCAACTGTATACATTTTGGGTTCAAGCAACCCTTGACGAAGTCTCCTGCAGCCATTTAACTTCCAGCAAACCTGGTCGGAGCTCGGATTAAAGCCCCTCAGAAAGGCAATAGGCAATCGGCCCCGGCTGCAGCTTATGCTGCTTCACCAAATGCGGCTATGATAAAACTAGAATCTGAAATGCAGCCAGCTGGCAACATGCATCTGAGCAACTGGAGTGTCCTCACAGCATTGACAAATCACCGATTTCCAGAAACTGTCTGCTGAAAACTGTATGCACGAGCAATCCTCAGGCAAGCAAGCAAGCAAGGCACAGGAATGGCGCAAACAGAGCCCTACCACAAGAGATACACCCACGGCTCCCGAGTCGTGGAGAGCATGACGTTCTCAGGCTTCAGGTCCTGGAGTGGACAATGCATTTTGCGTAGCCCAGAAAGAAGGCTCTTGCAGCTCCACGACCGCAGGGGCCTTGTGAATTACAGCTTTCGAATGGCAGTAGGCAATCGCCGATAGGGTGTGCTGCATCACCTCAAGGCACTTAAATCTGGCAGAACCTTTCCGAAAGTTGCCCACTGGCCTTCGCCACCCAGAATTCGTAGGAGTAGGCATCCATGGGCTCTAAACGTTTGACCTGCAGACAGCCAAAAGAGCCTACGTGATAGTGATATTGCATGACCTTGCCAACGAAAGTGGACACCCTACCGACTCACAAATTGTTGCATTTTTTAGAATATCAGGCTGTCCATAGCTCAAACTGTGGGATCTATGCTGAGACAACGACGTAGGCCCCAAGATCGCCACCCCGACATTGCTCCTGTTGAAAGAGGTTGCGTGGCTATCTTGAACGAGCTACTCACGACGTGCTGACTTGTTTTCAATTGCAATACGATACGCGTCCATAATCAAGTAAAAGTTCTCATCATCCTCGAAGTCCTGCAGTCAGCGCCACAAGCACAAAACTGCCGTGCTTGTCCATAAGCATCTCTGGGAGTCTTGGAACATGTCGTCGCAACTTTACGAAACTGACATAATGCAGAAAGAACAAAATGTAGTGGCGTCTCCTCAAATATTCTGAGGACATGGGGATGGTCGAGCTGCTTGAGCACCGCAAACTCTTCGCGAACCTCGACCAGAAGGCAAATGCTCTTGAGAAAGCCACACAATTTCAGGCAATGCCAGCAGGACTTCATGAAGACGGTTTCCATGCTCGCCACCTCCCTCTGCATGCTTCTGCATGCGTGTCTTGAGCATTCTCACGCTATCTCATGCGCTTTGCACTTGCGACGGGTGCTTGCGGAGCATGGCGAAAACACGTAGCACCGCGAGGAGCTTGCTACTGAGTACAGTCAACCATTTCGCTGCTCCTGGACTGGTCATACACCCAGCCATGAAACAAGTGGAGTGAGAGTTCGTGTCCTCGGGAAACGCAAGCTATTCATGGAAGTATTCAACGGGCGAGAGACCGTCTAGCTCCATGAGACTTTGCTAGTTCCAAATGTGTTCATGTGTGTTTCCTGCAGCTCATTCAGGAGGTCCGAGGGGACCTCTCGCCGCGAAATCCGACCAGATTCGCGCGGTTTGCCCGGTTGGCCCGCTTCGAACCCGTGAGCAAAACTGGGCTTGAAACAAGGTTGCTCTTGCCAAAGCTTTTGTAACATTTTGGCATATCCTTGCTGCCCGTCTGAGAAGCAAACACACGAATCAAATGCTGAGTTGTCTAAGAGGCTTTCAGGCAGAATCTACTACTTCAAACCCACTTCTTGAGCATGCAACCAGGAAACTGTACACGCCACACGCGCTGGTGCCACTCCCCGTCCCGCTGACAGCGCAACGTCCAGTTCAGTTGTGAGCATGCTAGTGCTGTAGGCCCCCGCATTTGCTACTTTGGCCTGCGTGGCTCTAACTTGTGGTACCCAGGGAGGGGTACTGGTAGCAGAAGGTTTGGAGGCGAGATACAATCCAAATTTTGCAAAGCATTCTCAGAATATTCATCTTCAGGTCTGGATGCCCTCGCATCACACGAGGCTTACTTGCGTTCCGGGGAAATTCAATGTCATCAAAAGGCTTAATTGATGTCTGTGCTGGGTTCATAAAAGCTTGCAGTAAATAGTTCGTGAAACTCGTACCAGTGCTGATTCCTTTGGTTCGCTTAGCTTCAGGGGACTCTAGCTCCTCCTTTGCACCGAGAAAGCCATCGGCACATGCTTATCCCGACGTCGCGGTTTTGGTGGCTTCAGCCTTGAAATGCAATCTCAGATTTGAAAGGCGTTGCATGAAGATGTTCAGTGTCTCTGACGTAGAATCTTGACATACGGTTCTTGTTGACGGCTCACCACCTGTCTGCCCTTCAGTAATATCGCCTGTCTGGCATCGCTCCTGTTCCAGATCAGCAACATGACCCAGTCTGGGTCAATGCCTCCGACCCCGCAGCATTGCACCTTCGCGTCTCAAGCTGGCCATCATCCTCATGTCCTCTATGAGCGCGGCTAGCGGCTAGTTTAAGGCTTCTTGTCCAAGGGATTTGTCTCCAGCTCTGCGGCCTAGGCCGAAAGCTCCAAGTCATCTGAAGATGGGGGAGACACGAAGAAGCAGCAAACGGAGAACAGACCCATATGTTGATGGGGCCAGCCTCCAAGTCGTAGACCATGCACATATAAAGTGTCTTGGAAGCGTCGTCCACTTCTCTAGGATGCAAGTTGTCGAGCAGGTGCTCTTCGACGTGATGGCTGGGAGTAAAGCGAAAAACTCCTGATGTGTTCTCATGCGGTGCTGCATGCTTGTGTGATTAAACTTCAAGATCCAAGGCACACTCAATCCGGCTCTTGCCGGGCTTGCCTTTGGACAACGTGAGCCCTGTCCCGCACATGCAAAGCCCCAAGGCTCTACGCGTCCCTCGTACGCAATCCATTGCGGAGGCTCACGATATCTTTGCGAACCGCGAACCAGACCCTCCTCCCTGACACTTCTAAAGCCTCCCCTCACTCCTCCTCCTCCTGCTCTTGCCGCAGACGCTTGCAGAGGGTGTGGCCGCTGTGCAAACAACATGTCTAACAAGGTTTCTTGTTCCCGAGATAGCACCTTGAGATACCTTGAGCACCCAAGATCACTGCAGCATCACAAATGCTCGCAGCAAGCCCGACTTGAAAGCACTGCCCACCGAACCCACCCGAATTCAGCCAGGCAATTTGACTGAAAAGCCAAATCCCTTACAACGTGCTGAGGCGCCTTGGCTTCCGATGTTTTCGCTTCTTTAGCCTGGCAAGAAGCAAGTTCATTGGCATGCTTCTCCACTACGGAATTGCGCCTTGAGTTTGCTGATGATCTTGCACACTCGAACCTTGCGAAGTGCAAGCGAATTGCAGGCTACTGCGTCTCCTGCTCATCACATCCGACTCTGAGGGGTCTGAGGTCCCGTCCCGCTTCTCCTTGTTTTGATCAACTTGCGTCCTGGCACGATACGTCGGCGTGCTTCAAGTCTTGCACTGACGGCCCAGTACGGCCTGTGTGAGACGAGGTATACTGTGCCAAAGGAGCCCTTTCCGAGCTGCTGCTGCACCTTCCGCAAGCTGAGATCTGGAGCGTTCGGAGGTCCAAAAAGGATTCTGCGTGGAACTTGGGTTCATGTATGTTCAATTATGTTCATGTTGTCAGGCTCTGGTGCTTTCATCTGGTGGCTCCCTGCTGAGCTCTCCGAAGGCGAAGGTCAACGACCCGCACCAAAGCTAACTCTCCCAGCATGCCTCGTACACGTCGTGAAACCTTCGGGGAGTTGGGCAAACCCCTGCTCTTGTGGCAGCTTGGGCTCATGAACCCTCTGAGTCAGCAGTGCTTCTCAGCATAGCGATGCAGAGACAAGGTCACTGATCACTGACGAGAGCTGACTCGGATGCTATTGCAAACTAAGGTGCATCATGATGTAGCCCCTTTGACCGCGCCTCTGAGGATTCTTCTGGATGAACTCCTGCCTCCAACGTTTATCCCTCTCCTCAATGCAAGTGCATACAGCTACACAGCAGAATAGCGCAGCAAGTTGGTTGGCTGACAGAGGACTCTGCAATCCAGTTGTTTTGCAGCCGAGGCTCCTCTGAGCAGGAGCGGGCATCTGCGCCAGGATTCACCCGAACTTCCTCTGAAGCCCGCAGGAAGCACCTGAGTGCTGTCGGTTGCTTGCCCTTATCCTGCATTCAAAACATACAGGAAATCCTTCTATGACACTGAGGATAATGATCCGCAAACCTTGGCGAGAGTGAAAGCGCGCTTGCACGCCCAATATTGTACGGCTTCACAATAAACTTCAACACCGAACCTGCACCAGCTGATGCAAAAAATCAAAATTGACCAGGCCAAGGCCGTGCAGGACGTCAGCAACAGCTGAACTGCCGCAAGTGAGACGTTTGGTCTGCGAGCTGCTTTGCATGGCTGTGCGCAACGTGTCTGCAACAAATATGACAACAGTCCTGGCACTCTCTGTTGAGTGAAGTAAAGAAATGATCTTCTCGCCTGTCTCCGCACCCACCACAAACTAAATCCTAACAATCCGATCCCTCCCTCTTGCTTTTCAGCCCTGGCCAGCATCTCAGCAGGGCCCTGGCAGCAAGCGGAAGAGAAGGGCTTCAAAGTCCTCGGAGCCAACGCCTGCAGACACAAATGGTGGCTTTCTGATGCTGCAACCTCCAGGCAGCTCTACGGCCTGCATTTCCATGCAAACAGCTTTCACGCTGGGGCTCTCAAAGAGAACTGACAAAAACAACGCCACAACATACCTGCTGATGCATGTCCCGGTTACCGTGCGGCTCTTGCTCACGCATTCCGGCCAGCAAGTCTGGCCTTCATTGGCGCCACGGTGCTTGTCAAAGAGTGCCTCATGTCAAGAAGCAATTGCTGACTTCTCAGCTCTTGCAGGCTCCTTGCCTGCATCTGCTTGTCTCCCGGCACGCTGATGTGGAGCTCCTCTCTACTGGCTGCCAGCTTCAAAACAGGCAGGGTTTTCATTAACAATTCACTTTGCCGGATGAGCCGAGATAGTCGGAATATGAAAACACATATGTAGACATCTGGGCAACAATATGAAGCCTTAGATGGATATCCAGCCGTATGGCGAGGACGAGATTTGAAGTCCGGGTTCATAAGGCCCTTGTTGGGGATCATCATGTGTGATGTGGAAAGACGTGCAATCCTACAGGCTTGGAGCAGAAGATTTTGGTGCTATAGCCTCAGATTTACAGATTTCCAGTGCATAACTTTGTCGCGCTGCTGCTACTACCTCTGGTATTTGCCACCATTCCCCGCTGGCGGCAACAAATACGATTGACAGGAGTATCTGTTTCTGTGAACCCAGAGCCCAAGGAATCACCAACGACTTTCAATGCTGTACCTAGACATGAAACAAGTAATACTGCCAACACAGCCAAAGCCATGGTGATTCCTGCCTTATGACAAACAACTGGCAGGACCTCAGAATCAAGAACACACGTGATGGCCGTGCCTGCAGAAGCTCCCGTAAAGCTTGCTGAAAGTCCTGATTGGCACATTGCTCCAAATCCTCTTGCCACTGCGGACAACAAGGATCCTCGAAGCCCAGGCGGTTTCCGGCCAGCAGCGTGCGTCCAGCCTGCAACGTGCTCTGGACTGGGAGCTTTAAGCATGCTTTGCGGCATACAGCTTCGACTGGACAAGCACCACCGGCAGCTATACCAGCTCGATGCAGGCAGCTCTAGTGCAGGCAAGCTGTTTCAGTAACAGCCCTTCAAGGCCTTGAAGGGCCTCTCCGCATATGCTCTCAGCCGATCCTTGCTCCGCATCAGCTCCACCTGTGATGGACCACATTTTGTGCCTTCTAACCACCGCAGGCAGAGTTCTGAGGACCAAGCCAGATCTCGTTGGGCCTTCTCCGTAAAATTTAATCTGGAGCCTGCTGGCCGCCAAGTGAATTCCACGGCTTCGGTGCCAGGAAATGATTGTCATTGGCGGCGATGAATCGCTCTAGCAGTTACCCGTAATAGAGCCCGCTGTAGTGCTTTTCCAAATCCAAACTACACATAAGCAACACAACTTTGCATGACATGCATGACCATTCCCTGAATTCAGCAACATCCATGTGCCGCAGCCGCTTCGGCGAGCTGGCAAGGGCGGCCCTGTTTTGAAAGTGGGTGGCAGTCTTGTGCCCCATGATCCGTTCGCTGGAGCATGGACAAAGGCTGGGAAACTCAGGTCACAACTCACCCCCCGGCCATTCTTGAAGTCTGGTGTGGTGCCCACTAAATCTGGGTTGGTTGATTGAAAGCTGTACTTTACCTTAGCCTACTTTCCAACCCGCTGAATTACGAGGCAATACAGTAGTTGGCTTGAGAAGCGTTCACAACAACAAGCCAGTATGCCGGCACTTCTGCGGTTGCCATGTAGTGGGCCTTGGGCTGCCTAGCTCGCTGCCAAGCAAAAGCCAAGCCAGCTGGACGAGACAGCGCAAACGAGTGCGTGGGAAAAGTTGGTGAGCAACCCTCAAAGAAAGAAGCAGGCTCAGAAAGATAGTGCTTTCGACGAAGGTTCCTCCTTTTCTAAAGATTCACGTGCAATGTTGTTTAATGCTGGAGTCGCATTCGGGGGCCAATACCAGTCGCGTATGTCGCGTGACACTGTTGCCAGGACCCTGCCTGGCGACTTCTCAGAGCCAGCAGACAGGCTCGAGCGCGACCTCTGTGGCTCCCCCACCCGCAAGAAAGCCAAGCCATCTTCCCAAACCTCTCCCAATCGACCAGCTGTCCCGCCTGGCGGGCCTGGGTGCATTGGGGCTTGCCCGTGCTGTGGAGGCAGATGCTGGGCTCGCTCCTTTTCAGGCAGAACAGGTCAAACACTTGAGGTTGAGGATCTGCTCCTGGCAAAACAGAAGCTTCGCAGGGCAACGTGTCCTGATATCTGCGAGTGCCTGGCACTGTCCAAGTCCGATGCCTCGCTGCACTGGGCAAATATCCAAGCAGTGCCACAAGAAATGCTGTCAGTGCAGAATCTGATGCACTGTCTCTATACTAGCAATTCCGAAAGGCAGCTGGCAGATTAAAATGATGAGGCTCGGCTCCTTGAACCGCGAAGTGCCCGGCGTGCCACTAGCGCTCGCCTGTCATGATCTAGCCGGCTGAAGCATCAAGTAAAGCCTTCGAGCTTTGAATGCCACCCTTCTGCCTGAGGTGTCCCAGCGGCAGTCAAGATGGCAGCACCGAGCGGAGCAGGCCGACGCTCCTTCTAGACATCATACAAGCAGTGTTCAAGAACTTGCGCTCGCTTTTACAGGGACCGTTGCAGTTTGGACGAAATCCATGTGTATGTTAGTGCGCGTTTTTACCACACATGTGTCCCCAGCGAAAGAAGAGCTCGGAGCAACAGCTCAAGAAAACTTATGAGCAAGGTCGTGCGTCGGCCCCTTCGTTTTCTAGATGGCTGCAGGGCTACCGTATGCATGCTATCGCTCTCGGAAGCGCAGAGGCCCTTGTGGCTAGGTTGGGTCCACCTACTGTTTTCTGCAAGCACGTCATGCTACGTCATCTCTCAGGGTCCTCTAGCAAGGTGTTGCTGCGCATGACTGGGCTCGGGCTTGACACCCGCGGAGCAGATCCTGAGTTTGCCAAAGCCGCTAGTGTCGTCTGCTGAAGGATCTAGGTAAGAACATCTACATACAACCTGCTAGTTCTGATCAAGGTTGAAGCATAGTTCTGCTGCGCTCAAGGCATTACGTCAATGTACAGAATTTCAATATCGAGGTGCCTCCACAGGGAATGGGACTCCGCTGGCCGGCCTGGCAACACAAAGATAATAAAACAATCAAAGTTTCTACCAGTTTGTCTACAGTTGTGGTCACTTTTCTGGTCCAGGCATTCTGAACCATCTGCGCTGAAGGCTTGGCTTTGCTAACGTAGTTGAAATCTCTTACTCTGGACTTGAGCATTGCCTCAAGCACTTGATCAAGGATATCATCCCAAATGTCGCAGCCGGTGCAAAGATTGGAAGTGGCATGATGGAATCTCTCATGTTACATTTATTGAGGCCTGCTTACTCACTGGCTGTGAATGCATTGAGACTCATGCTGCCGCATTGGGAACTTGCCAAGGCTTGCACCCTCGAGGGAAAGGCAATGCAGCCAATGCGCCTCAAAAAGCACATCCCATGCTTCGCACCCATCTTCAGCTCCCACACAAGCCACTAGCAAGGCTATGCAAAGCTAATGCTAAGGACAGGTGCGCAAGACAAGTGCAAACACGCATGACATGTGACGAGCATGAGCTGCTTGCGGCCTGCCAGGAGAGCGCAGCTGCGAGCCGTTTGACATCTTGGATCCGGGGGACTGCGAAGACGAGGAGCCCTGTCCTCAGCGCGATGCGATGCAACGATGTGCGTCCAAGGCCACAAATTCTTGGGTTGAGCTGTTGGTTGCTTGCAGCTCCACTCCGCTTCTTGCTATCTTGATGCAATTCTTCATGCTTTGGGCAAGCCACTGCGTTTCCACAGCCATGTTGCACACTCTGCATTTACAGCTTGTTCAAGTTGCCTGGGAATCATCGGAGGTGTTGCGGAAGTACATACGTGAGAATGTGCTCCTGCGCTGTGCGTTCTCAACCCCCTTCTCCCGACCCAGTGGTATCCCCCTCAACCCCCGCATATTGAAAAATGCCAACAGTCACAGGGATGGGGCCATTTGGGGTCGCCATCCTCGTAACTGTCTTCGTTTTTGGTGCCTCAAAGCCTTCATCCTCGTAACTGCCGTCGCTTTTGGCCCCTCATGCTTTCGTCGCGCTGAAAAAGTACAACAGTCCTCATCGCGATCTTCATAATTGGCGTCATTTGTGGCCCCTCATGCTTCTGTCATGTTTCAAAAGTGCCAACGGACACAGGGACCAGGGATGGGGGTGGTCCCCGTCGCGATCTTGCAACTGTCGTAGGTTTCAAAGCCTCGCGTTTTTATTCTTGACTCACAATGACAGGGTTATGAAAACCTTCCATAACACGATGAACCCTATGTAGACATCTTTTGTTTGAAGCCTTCTGTGCCCCAACACTAAACCCTCTATAAACCATCCATAAACTTGAAGTAAACAACAAGACCAAAATCATGGGCCAGCACCAGACCACAAAGAGAGGTGGGGATAATAGCTTCTAAATCCTCTACAATCATGCAAACCCTGTCCAAGACCCAGACCGCGGGACCATGGGGGGGGGAGTTGAGGTTTATAGTTTAATCCACCTTTCTAGCCACCATACCATGGGGAGGGTGGAGGAGGGGGGGGCCTAAGCACGTATCATACTCATACTTTGGCTGAGAAGTGGACGAAGGACAGCATCTGCTGTGATCATGCTAGTACCAGCAAACCCAGACTGGAAATCAATATAATCCCAATAAAACCCCAATATGTATCCTATTATAATATAGTAGCTTCCATTTTCTTTCCCATTATCCCTATATAACCCCTATATGTGCCCTAATATAACCCCAATATAACACAATGTAGACTGGAAATCAAAGCCTCAGGGAGTGACTCAGAATCTGGAGCTGCTGACTCAGCGTCGGAGCTTCAGCCTGGGTCGACTTCCGAAACAGCGCGCTGCAAGAGAAAGTCCAATCTCGAAGGACTACGATCTTTGCTGCTCTTCTGGGGTTGCGGGCAGCCTGGCCAACATTCCCTGACATTGTTGTGATTCAAGCGTGCTTCTCCTCTCTGAAAGACCTTCCGGCAGCCCTGTGCGCACGGTGTCTCGTTGGATCCTCAAGCTACAGGCCCCTTCGAATTGGAAAGATCCTTGGACTTTCCTCGTCTTTCCCCCAGCAAGGGCGCAAGAAGCAATCATGCGGATGGTTGCACGATGCGGACACCGGTCATTTAGAAAACGTTAACATGGATTCGAGATTCTCTTTTTCAGGGGCCTGCCATTTGCAGAAAAGTGGGAAACAGCATGTTCAGTACTGAATGAACAGCAGCTCAAGCTCCAAACGCATAACCCCAAAGCGAGGCTCCAAACGCCCAAAAAATGAAGCTGAGATACTGCTGTCTTGGATCGCGAGGGTGAAGAAAGGGGCTGAACGGAAGCCCAAATTGTTCCGACCTGGAAAAGTTCAGATATAAGGAGAAAGCATTGCCACCTTCAACATTTGCACAGTGCATAGAACATGAAGGTGCATGAAAACTATAACAAAGCACGATGTGTAGGATGCAGATGACAACATACCTACGCATAAGTTGCAACATGACTGCATGCGTACATGATGTGCGCGTGGTTGCGCGCCTTTACAGAGAACAGTACATCTATATCTGTCTCTATCTCTACATCTATATCTCTATATATAAATATATGCATACATGCGGACATGTGTATATACATGATATATATATATATACAGGGCAACGTACATAAGTTTGTATACACGCAAGGAAAGGCGACATCAGCCTTGATTACAAAGGTTTTTGGCTTCCGCGTCTCTTTTGCCAACAGGCTGGCACAAGTTGAAAACATGTCAGTGTGCCGTGATAGGCATACTCTTGCTGATTACCAACACTGGCTTGGATATTGTCACCTTTACATCGACACATTCCTAGGTTTTGTAGCAAGCTTCACATGCTTGATCCCTCAATCCACTGGGAAACCTCCTCGCTAGGCGAGGATGATCTTAGGCTCGTACCAAAGCTTCACCACGCAGCAGCGACGACGCCTGTTTTTGGCCTCGCTCCGACGTGACATGACCAGATTACTTGACAGCTGTCTGCTAGGATTTTGATTGCTGCTTCATCTGGACATTTTGTGAACTCCGGCTCCAGAACGAGTTTTGCAGTTTTCTGTGTCAGCTTCCTGTGCAGCAGCGACTGTCAGGGGGATGGGTACATCTCATTGAGTCTGGGGCCTTCCCTCTGCTGCGAGATGAATGCCTGGGTTTGGCTCTAGTTCCAGCACATTACTATGATTCAAAATTTCGGGAGCCTGAAGGTCGAAGCGGGACTCGCCAATCATGTTGGGATCCTGGCAGCAGGAAGGGGCCTGTTTGCATGATTGTCTGCACTGATGCCAAGGAAACAGATTATGACACAAAAGCTGTGTCTGCCAGAGGCCCCATACTTGCTTCACAGCCTGACTTGGGGGCAAGTTGCTTCAGGCACAAGTCCTGAACAAAACCTCTGACACTCACTTTTTCACATCCATCTGTCCACAGCCTGCAAGGGACAAATTAGCCCATGTGCTCAAATTCCTTGGATTCTCGACCTTTGCGAGAGTGTGCTCGAGCTCCAGTGGCAGGGGCCGCCATGGGCAGCAACTATTCACCGGGCACTGTGCGCAAACACGCGTGGTTTGTGTTTCGGCAGTGGGAGCACTACTGCCGAACTTCCTGTCGCGAAGAAGCTCGGAGACAAAAAGCTGACCAACAGCATCAGCAACGGCCCCCAAGACCTTCCTTCCAGGCCTTATCGAGTTGTCATACCGATGCCAGTGTTGTGAACCAGAGTTCCTCGTACCCAGGTCCGTCTCTCCGTCAAAAAAAAGTGGCAACGCCATGGGTGCTGGATCCAGGACCAAGACCTTACCTTGAGATGCCTCTCTCTCTTCAGCCGGCCAGGATAAGAGTAGATTATGAATGCTGTGCCTGACCCAGCCGGCCCGGCCCCAGCTAATGGTGCACCGATTCGCCCGGCAAATCGTAGAACTAAACGGACTGTGGAGGCCAGTGAAGAGGATGATCTTTCCTTGCAGCGAGGGCAGCACTGCCCGAAAAACAGGTCCCCAAAAGGCTGCCAGCTCTTGCTCGAAAGCGGTTTGGTCAGACCTTTCATGGAAGCCAAGCTCAATAACTATCACGTCGTGCCCTTCGCTAATAGTCTTCTGAATCCGAGATGCAGCAGCCTTCCAGTCACTTCTCTCATACGAGGGCAGGCGCCAGTCGTGGAAGGCCAAGTGGAGCCTGTCCACCTGGAACTCCAGCCAACCCCAGCATTTGACCGTTGTGCCTTCACCTGGAATACTGGGAACACCGGCAAAGGCTTCCCAAGCCCTAGGCACCAATACATCCAGCAAGGACTGCAAACAACCACGAAGAACGGAACTTCCTGCTGCCACAACAGAAAGGCGACCGGAGTTGGAGTCTGCCATCTCAGCCAGCTTGTATGTGTCCTGAGGGCTGTACACATGCCAATAGCATCTGCTGGAGACATATGTCCAGCCGTCTCTGGGGCACCCCAACCTGTGACACTGAGATGCCTGATCCACAACAGTTCTTCGCACCCATCGACCTCTCAGCTCATCCACTCCTAGCTGGCAACGACGTGTTGGAAGTCGGTTGATGTCGAACGACACAACTTTGGTGCCGTCGCTATTTAATTGGGATACTTGCAACTTTAGCGGACTGCGGCGCAACGCCTCCAGTCTATATGTTCTTGGATCTGGAGGCTGGGCATGTGGAGGTGGCGTCACTGCCAGGAAGTACAAGAGGTACACACCAGGATCTGTAAGACTGAAAGATATCTTCCATCCTGAAACTTGACTCATCTTGTACATCTGCGGAGTGCCCGCCTCAGCAGCAAGAATGTCACCAGATTCTGAGTTTATCCAAACGAAGACGAAGGGAGTCTGCTCCCGTGTGAGAGGCTTGTTGCTTTGGATTGTTACCCTGACATCTTCATCCACCATGACCTCCTTTGTGCCGTTGCCAGGCAATAGCACTTGCAAATCGTCCCTGACTGCAAAATTCACTCCAGGCTTCCAGACCTGAAGCAATCTTGTGGATGGGCAGGAAGCTTCACACAATGTCGGAAATTCTGATGTCAATGGCATCTGCTTTGTTGCATCCATCGAAATATTGTGGAAAAGCACAAGTCCCACAAGCTGCGTCGATACTGGCTTCCAGCCAACAAGCCATGTCAATGCCATGGCGAGTACTCCAAAGCCAGCGCAGGCAGCAAAGGCAATCCGCCAGTCCTGCATCTTCGAATGTGCTGGCCTCAGCTATTGCCTTCCACGGGTGTGCAACATTGGCTGTTTCCTGCCTCTGGGTCGCAGAACATCAACTCTATTCTTGAGTCTTGAGTATGCTCTCCTAAACAACCTTCCCTCATTTGCCTTAGTTAGTCGTGTCCTATTTGATAAAAGTCCTTGTGCCGCCAATATAAGCAATTTCACGTGAAGATTGCTAGCATCTGCATCTTCTTTGGCTACTGGAGCGTACCAAAATGCTGCAAAATCAAAGACACACTCTGAAGCTTTCATCATAGCAACTTGGTTCCTCGGGAACTGTGAAAGCATTGCGTGATGCTAAACCAAGCCAAAATGACCTCACTGCTACATTCGCCAAATCCGTGAAACCATTTGCATCGACAACGGGCAGACGTGTGAACATCCTGGGAGGTGAATTGCGTCAAATCATGGCCGCCCACCAGCACTCGCAGGGTCATCCATCGGCCCGTACCCAGCACGGGAAAGCGCTCCTGAGACATCTGCTCTTACGCTTGCGAGAATGCTGACCTGATCAGACCTTTCAATGGCTGCAAAAATTTGTTCAGTCAACCCCCGACTTTCCCCATACACCTCCCCAGATGCAGTATAAAGCTTAACAAGACTGGCCCCGGTCAACTGGTGTTCCGAGTTTTCCTCAAAGCCCTCCCTTGCAAATGCTCCTCGAGCATTTGCCCCCGACCCTCATTTCGGTACTGGGGTTCGCCTCATGCTGCAGGCAGCTGATCTTTCCTGCACCCGTGCCCTCGGGCTGCCAGCCTCCGCGCTGTGCCAAGGCTGGCAAACTGTCAAGCTGGATACCGAGTTGTTGCTGATACTGCCGGCCCTCTTGCTGCCGATGGCTAGACAAAGATTCCCCTCCGGCCCATTCTAAGACGTTAGCAGATTGCATAAAATTTGGCATTCAGACTCAATGGAGAATGAACCGCCCAAGTGGTCCAGAGCCAAGGGTTATGCTTGGCTCGGCCCACGCCTGACGTTTGATGACGTTTTCTGTATGTTTATTTTCTGGAATCATTGTAAATACTGTAATAGTCATGGGCGGGGCTTATCCTTGTTACGATGATTGTTGTAAGCATTATTCATAGTATTCTGTTGTTATAAGCTTTGCGACGATTGTTGTAATTCCTAGAAAATACTGTGACTTTGCTTGCCAGTTTTACCAACATTTGTATTTCTATAGAGCGTGTTACGCCCACTATGAAATGCTTCGATTCCATGCTATTCACGAGCCCCACAAACGTGGGCCCTCAGGGCGTCATATTCTGTTTCTATAATGAATAATCAGTGTTGCGCTTGGCCTGTTTTACATGTTTTTTTTTACATTGTGATAATCAGACACATTTTTGCTAAAATCATTATGGGATGGTGATCATCATTAAGATTAGCATTGTCATTTCTATTCTTCTTGTAACGTGGAAATTTCTCGAGACTGAGACCTCAATGTCAATCGTCACCCCTTTGAAGACATAGAAGTTTCAACTAAAGGCAAGTGGAACAATCAGCTTTTCAAAGTTTTACGGAAAGCATTTAATCTGCACAGGTAAACATATTTTTTAAAAAATAAAATGGCGTGAATTCCTGAGTGAATTAACATCAACTTTGGAATTCATCTTTCTTGGTCCCGAGTTGCGTGGACATGCATTTGAGGGAATTGACTTTGGATGTAATCTTTTCAGGTGTTTTGAAGGTTGTTGAGGATTAGCTCTGGACTTAATTCTTTCTGCCCAGGTTCCCCACGCCCCCTGCTGGCAGCCATGAGAGAAGAATCCAATCCAGAGCTAATTCTTTTCTAGAGCTTTCAGGTTCCCCTAGCCTCTAGACGAGAATCCCATTGAGAAGGAATTAAATCCAGAGCGAATTCTAGGGCGGTGCGCAAAGGAATTAACTCCAGAGGGTTCGAAGGTTGCCACCGCGCAAGATTAACTCTTGAGTCAATCTTTGTTGACTCTTGAATTCACTCCTTCCAAAAATTAGATGATTTGTTCAATACGACTAGCAGTGATAGCTGTAGTTGAAGATGCCAAACAAATCAAACATTCCGCCGCCATCACGATAGGATCCAGGCATTGCGTTTGCCCTCAAAAGGAAACATTCGCAGCCCTGTCGGGAGGCGCAGCCTCCCCCAACTTGGAAAACAAGCACAAATATGAGAACATATCGCTTCTTGCTAAGGTCTTGTTTGCAGCAAAGTCCCCATCCATTTGAAAAATGTGGACGAGCATGCAGACATGTCTTGCCGAGTCTTGTCAGGATTTCGCAGCCATTTTTTTGGGGGTGCAGACCGCCAATATAAAACGTGGACGGAAATGAGAATATGTACCTTCTAGCTACGTTGCAACAGGATTTCTCCAGCCCTTTTTATGTGCTGCATAAAATGAGCAGTGGGTTGGGGGAGTGGGATGGAGGTCGCAGCCCTCCTCCATGTTATGATGGTTCTGAGATGTTCTGAGGCCTCTCGTGCTGAACCACTATCAGCTCCAGCAGCCTGTTGTCGCAGTGCCACTCCGTCCACGGACCGCTGACCGCGAAGGGACCTCCGACGGGTCCCAACTCTGTCGGTTGGGTCTCCTTGTCCGACGTGTCTTCCCCGTCTGTGTCCTCGTTGGTCTCATTTGCCTCCTCTGTCATCGTTGCGGGAGCATCGGGCTGGGGTGGCAGCGGACATGGGTCAGGGGACACGTTAGCCCTCGTAAAAAGAAGGTATTCATTTCTGCCTTGTTGGAAACTGGAGATCTCCACTCCCTCAGGAAATTTCGTGGTGCAAGCAGTGCTGTAGCTGACTCTGCTTCATTCAGGCGTTCCACACCGTACGAAGAGGAAGTCGTAGGTTCCCCCATTTGAGGGGGCAGCGCTTCATTCAAGCATAGCGCCGAATTTCGTGGTTCCGCGAATGCACCGACGCTCCAGCGCCATTCTATCTCCATCACGAAATTCCGGCCGACAACATGTCTTCACTATCTGTAGGATGATCTCCTGCGTGGGTTCTTCCTTTCTGT